AAACCCTAAAGTCTAAACCTTAAACCTTAAACCCTAAACCCTAAACCCTAAACCCTAAACTCTAAACCCTAAACCCTAAACCCTAAACCCTAAACCCTAAACCCTAAACTCTAAACCCTAAACCCTACTATGGGCTTCGGGGAGGCAAGCGAGTAAAGCTCTGGTGTTGTCGTGCGCGTGAGTGGCCGAAAGCTTGCAGTCACGGGCTTGAGTTTAGGGTTTAGGGTTTAGGGTTTAGGGTTTAGGGTTTAGGGCTTGAGGGTTCAGCTTGGTTGAACTTTACAGTTACTTTATAGCTTTTTCACGTTTAGGATTAGCCTTTTTGCTATTAGTAATATTAGGGGTACTAAAACTTATAATTTTAGCAGGGTAGTAAAGAGCACCCCAGTCAGGTTTGCAGCCATTAACTTGAATTATAGGGTTTAGGGCTTATAGAGATTAGGGTGTAGGGTTTCGGGTTTATAGGGTTTAGGGTTTATGGGCTTTAGGGTTTATGGGCTTTAGGGTTTATAGAGTTTAGGGTTATAGTTGATGTGGCTTTCGCTGTGGTTCTTGAAGCATTCTCTCCAGCGTATCCGATACACTGTCTGTTCGAGCAAGGCCAGTTCCAGATGCTGGAGTACTGGTACGCGCTGATTCGGACCCTGGTATAGTGCAAAAAAGACCAGTTGACGTGCGTTGTGGCTGTGCGCAGGGCTGTTTGCGTTAAGGCTTCACCAAATTACCCATAGGCCCCATAGTAGTACCTTTTTGGGATTACCTTATAGGATTCTAAATATGAACCCCAAAAAGGACCTACTATGGGGCCTATACCCTAAACTTTAAACCCTAACCCTAAACCCTAAACCCTAAACCCTAAACCCTAAACCCTAAACCCTAAACCCTAAACCCTAAACCCTAAACCCTAAACCCTAAACCCAAACTACTACGGGGCCTATGGGTTCCCAAAGGTTCCAGATGGCCCCAAGGCATTTGGGAGGCCTCGCTCCGAAAAGCCTTAAGCCATGCGTCCGTGGAGCCTTTCCGGATTACTTAAGGGTTTAGGGTTTAGGGTTTAGGGTTTAGAGGGCTCAGAAAACCCCAAAAGCACCGTATAGTATGGTCTTTGGGCCCAACAGCAAAAGAATTTTTAGTCCTTAGAGCTGCAGGGGCTCCATTCAGGGGCCTCATGGTGGTTTACGCTCAGGTTGCTGGTGTGCATTTTTTCGCAGTGACATTCTCAGCAAGAGCCCCTGTACTCTGGTGTGTAAACTCTAGAACACAGGACCCTGTACGCGCAATCCTGCAGCCCTAAACGCTAACCCCTAATCCTAAACCCTCAATCTTAAACCCTAAACCCTAAACCTCTAGAAGCCCTAGACTTAGGCCCTGAACCATCAGTTTTGATCCCTGAACCCTCAAGCCTCAACCCTGACCTTATGCTGATAGTCTGTAGACACCCTCCTCCCTAGGCCAAAATTTAAGCCCCATGAGGGCAAAAGGAACCTAAAGCTTACCAGGACCGAGTCCACGCCCCAAAGGCCCCGTCTCGTCAAAGGCCCGAGTATTTCGGATCCCGGATTTACCTAGAGTCGCCATTGTAGTTCCTATTTCTGGTTAGCCAAGTCTTAAGGTTAGGATCGTATGATATCCGGGTTTTTACACCCAAAAAGCAAGGAGCTGCGTGTGGGAGAGGGGCTTCTCTATCCAGGGTCGCGATGATCAGAGTCCCTAAACCCTAAACCCTAAACCCTAAACCCCTAAACCCTAAACCCTAAACCCTAAACCCTAAACGAGGGGCTTTGAAAGAAAGCTCAGCCTCGGACGCCCGGGGGCTTCGGGTTTAAAAAAGGGCCCAAATAATTACCAATAGTATTTTGGGGGCCCCAAAACCCTATTCTACTTTTAGTTTGGAACATAGGAGGGCTTTGGGTTAGGGTTTAGGTTGTGATGGATCCATGGTGGTGACGGCTGTGACACGCAGGTTTTTCCACAAACGTCCGGCAGCCTTGCGAGTTTCGAGGCTAATAGTACCGTTGACGATACTCTCTCTGTAGTCCAGGGATCATCCTAAACCCTAAAACCCTAAACCCGATACCCTAACCCTTACCAGGCATCATCCTCAATCCCAAACCCTAAACCCTAAACCCAGATCCTTACTAGCAGTGTGTAGGGTTTAGTGTTCAGGGTTTAGGGTTTATAGGG